CAACATGATTGGGACGATCAGGAGAAGTCAAGGTACACTACAACCAATGTACAAGTACAATATCACGACACATAAAGCATCAGCACGAATTTTAAGTTTTGGAAGAACAACGGCACGCGCAACTTAACATATCTCAGATACAGCATTGAAGGATACCAAGTGTCTACATCCCCGAGTTACCTCGTCTAGCATCCCATATACGGCAAAATCATCCTGCTCATCTCAGCAACTCCTCAAAATATCAATCAAATAACAAATACATACGGTCGATCAAAACACTCATCCCACCCCGGCTCCTCCTTCTGCCAATACCTCCTCAACACCGCCTGCGCCTTGAGCGGACTACTCGTGCCCAACTTCCTACTCAGCTCCGAAAGCTGCGAGCCCACCCAAGACCTCGTCGCTTCATCTCTATACCCTGCTTGCACGCCCGCCACGACAATCGGCCATATCAAAAAACTGACTAGGCGCGGGGATTTGATTGCTGCTTTTAGTCCCTCGATGAGTCTGTCGCCGTGGATGGAGCGCATGGAGTTCATTTCCAGTGTTTCGGGTAGGATGGTGAGGGATTGCAGGGACATGGTGCAGTAGAGTGCGACGGCGGATTGGTACACGGTGCCGATGCGGAGCCATTCGTCGTAGTGATCGCCTGGCTGTGCCCAGTTCTTGGAACTGAATGCCTCAATGGCAGTCAGTAGGTCCTGTGCATCTAAAGCGTGGTTTGGGTCCATTTCGCCTGCGAATAGAACGGCGGAGGCGCGGGCGCGGAGGTTGTTGATTTTCATGATGTCGAAGAAGAGTTGGGGAGGGCAAAGTGTGTAGGGGAAGATGAGCAAGTGGAGCTCTTTGACGTCGGAGGCGTTTTCTTGGGGCGTGCCGCTGAGGTCGATTTGGTCCCAGGAAGGACTGCAGGTGTTGGCTATTATGACTATGCTGCAAGCAGATCAGTTACTGTGTCAAAGAGCATGATGTTGCAAAGGCTCACAGGATATAGACCACGAGTGTTGGTGCAAGATGCGGCGTCTGCCTCAACAAGCTCTTGAAGCCTCCTCGCATATCGATTATTCGCCGTAGTCCGCTAGCGTGCGAGCGCCAATCCGCCATGGCTGGGTTCTGCAGCTCCATACTCATAAACATAAGTATGCTGGCTATTGTGAGGTCGCTACATCGCGTCTTGTCTTTACCGACGTAATGACTGAGCGCCTGAATTGCGGCACCACGATGGCGATACACCTTGGATCGATTCTCAATAGCTGTAGTCTTGGCTGCTCCAACAGGAAGGCTGTGAACGAAGTGGTTGAGAGCCAGGCAAACTAGGGTATGATGGATAGCCGGTGGTAGTATATGGAGAGCTCTCAAGGGAAACATAATGACTGCGGGGTTCGGTGCTAGCTCGCCTGCAGCTTTGACCGTAGGGAGGATGCGTAAATTGTAGTATTGAACGGCCTGGACAATCTCGTTGGTCTCGTTGGTCAAGTAATCGTAGCTGGGCAGATCATGCAACTTCATGATACGCAACAGTCTCTCTAGTCTCTTGAGTGGTTGGTTCTCTGATCTGAGCATGTCTGCTGCGGCTTTGTGGTCCCTCCTCAGTACTACATCTGCGATCTCATCTCTGTTGCCCAAGTTGAAGATCTGATCGATAGCTTGAATGTTCATAGCCGTTTGAAAGACGATTTCGCGCATGGCCTTTGCATCTTGCTCTTCCGCGAGATCAGCCCAGTAAGGTTCGTTCGAGGATTTCCAGAGTGTGTAGGCGCGCTCGTACTCGACAACGTCGAGCGCTGGGGCGTCAAGGTCGTGGATATCCGATGCGAGCAAGTGCAGTTCAAAGTCCTTCGCACTACGGTGCGTCAGTCTCTCTCCGGGCTCTTGCCACCACCCCCATGTTTCGGAATCATCGGTTTTCGATGGCCTTCTCGACTCTTTCACTTCCGGACGTGTTGTCAATTGCTTCGACTCTACACCTGTCGATTCCTTGGTTGGAGCCGTATAGATCGGGGGAAGGCTGTTCTTCTTTCTCCGCCGAGAGGTCACCTCCCCGGGTTCCACCCATTGCAACGGCTTCTGATCGTCATATCCTGGACACTCTTTACCTGCCTTCTTACAGTTAGTCCATGTACCATGATATTGGGTGCTTATTGTTACTTTTTGACACTTCTTGCAGTGAGGCAAGGCGTGATCGCAGACCAATCGCCGCTTAAGGCATTCCCAGCATTGGCGTGTCGCTGTTCCTTCGCCGCTCTCGGTCTGCTTCATACTCAACTCGGGCGTAACTAAGCTCAACTATATGTAGTGATTGTTGCAAATAGCGTGGGATTTCACTTTGCCGGAATGTAGCCTGTCCAGCGGAGCGAATGTTCCTGCATCTTTATTGCCCCGGATGGCTGTGAGGCTGTCGATAATAAAGGCTGTGGAGGTGCCGGTGACGAAAATGGCTGTGTTCAGTGCTATGTGAAGTCTTGGCCACCTTTGTTTCCCGAAGCAGTCAAGATCGGCTTTGGCGCGGGTGGCCTTGCGCAGACTCCGACCGTGGTTACCGACCCCAACGATAAAATGCGAACAAAAGTGCATTTCGAAAGACAGTACCACTGCTATGAATAACACCGGTCTGAACTTCACGCGGGAGATATTCTCATTGTCCTTGCCAAGGTCTTGTTGGAGGTGCTGACTGTCATGCGCTATACTCGCAACAGAAGCTTATGCTCCGTGCCAATGCTGGAGACGTCGAAATAATTGGTCTTCATTGTTCTCGATGAAATGCCGTGTATTTCTTCTTGGTAGGTTTATGGCATCTTCGGTACGATGCCCCTATCTCCACATGGGTTTGGAATACAAGTCAGCGAGCCAAGGAGGACACGAGATCTCTGCGGTGCCTGAGGGCAGTGCTCAGTGTCACAAGCTCTGAGATGTCTTGTGTTCATCGTGACTTGCTCGCGAAGAGGCAATGGAGCCAAAGAACCAACTGGGCGTGAATCGCACGCGCCACAAATCCGATAGGGCAAGACTAATGCACGGCCTCTGTGCAATTTTTGGCTCAAGATCTTGAGATTGCGCAGACCTGAGAGTGTTTGTACTACTTGTGATTTGGCGCTGAGATAGAAGTGCACACCAGTATGATGTCAGAGCACGAATTGGGAAAACTGGCATTGCGCTAACGCCGATAATCAATAACGGCTCCTCCGCGTTCAGAGCCGTGAAGGCATCGCGAACTCCGACTGCTCCACCAGGTCCTCCGATAGCTTTCAAAGCTTTGCCAAGCAGGATCAATCAGCAACGAAAATCCACGAATGAAGGTCTCTCTACTGCCTGGGTGGGTTCAATCGTGTATCGAAACGCGTCCGGGGTAGGAGTTGCAAAAGCTGCAAGACTGCAGTCGACAAACAGTTGTATATTTGCCACATACCAGCTGCAGTAGCCCCAGTCGGATATCGCCAGCATCCCACAGTCAGCCGTCACAACCTTGCAGCCGTGGCAAGAATCTGCCTCGCCTCCGAGCTTACCATCTTGACGATATTCCCGGCACCTTCCACCTTGTTCACGAGCCCCACGCCGGTTCCTGCCCATATCGCGGCTCTGCCTTGCAGACCAGTGTTGAAGCCCTTCAAATCTCCAACCACTTCCTCGTTGTGTAGCTTCTGAATCTCTTCAAGGCTCACACCGTTCACAAAGTCTTTATGACTCTTGATCACCAAGCTTCGGCCATCATATAGCTCTGGCCACGGGTTCGGGCCTCGAAGCTGATCGAACAATCTCGACCGGGTAGTCACTTGCCCACCGTCCTGTGCCTCCAACACTGCCGCTTGATACTTTGGATGTACGATGACCTCTTCCGAGGCTAGAAATCGCGTGCCCATGACCACGCCCTGAGCACCAAGGGTGAGAGCAGCAGCTACACCACGACCGTCGACGATACCGCCAGATGCGATGAGTGGTAGTGAGAATCCCTCACGTGCAAGAGCGTCTGATGCTTCCGGTACTAATGAAATGATCCCCGCGCCCTTCTCGAAACCATGACCACCCGCATCTGCTCCCTGCATACAGAGCGCATCTGGGTTTGCTGTTCGGGCGATTTGCAAGGCCCCCGCCACGCTACCGACTTGGATCCATACCATACTTTCTGGTGAGGCTTTGCGCACGGCTACAGCCCATTCAGTGTAGTCATCGAATTCTTTCGCCGCGAAAAGCCAGACTACAGCTGGCCGAAATTCTTGGATGACCGAGAGAACATTCTCAAGTTTGAGTACGAAAGGCAGGAAACCAATGCCTATGGGTAAGGTCTTTGATGATGAAAGTGCTGGGTGCGGAGCGAAGGCTTCCTTTGCAATGAGCAGCTCTTTGCGAGCATCATCCAGGTTGAACAATCCGCCAATCATTCCGAGGCCGCCCTCAATGGTGACAGCGGAGGCAAGAGCTCCACCCGCAAAGCCAGCCATAGGAGCGTTGACGATGAGTGGCGTTGATGTCCATGGAAGCGAGTTCTTGAGTGTCGACATGTCGAATGTCGTCAAAGACCGGATTGAGATTTTCGACCGAAAGTTCTGTGAGGAGTTGTGAGCTTGAGAATGCCTCAAGCTCGAGCGAGCGGAAGGCCTTATTATGGCCGCGCTGGTGTCAGACTGCTCAGAAGAACTTCTTAGAGCATTAACTTGTTGTGGCGAGCCGATGCGAAAGCTGCGAGGACGTCAATAGTCAGGACATACACCACACCATTTGGTGGGTGGCACATCATATTATCATCCTGCAAGGCTGCACCATCGAGGCCGACTTTCCCTGAACATCCATGGACTGCATAAGGCTTTCCGCGCGAAAACAGGCGAGAGATGATGAAACGCCGCAACGAAATGTGCGGGGCAATGTGGGCAGTCGAGGAGGTCCTGCAGTTCGAATTACCCCACTTCGTACATCCGCTAGCGCGAACGCCATCTTTCCTACCATCGATCCTCAAAAGTATCAAGGGTATAGTGCGACTATTTTCACAAAACAGCAATTCACGAGACGGCTCGATGGTGTAGTTGGTTATCACGTTCGCCTCACATCAGTGGAACGCGAAAGGTCCCGAGTTCGAGCCTCGGTTGAGTCAAGTGATTTTTTGCCTCGTTGTCGTCTTTTGTCCTTTGGAACACGATCAATTAGGACAAACCGTCACACACTCTATGGTCTCAATTCTTGGGTAAGTCCTCACCCAGAAAGCCCTAGAGATGTCGAGGATAAGCTAATGGCATGTTCTACACGCCACGGGTGTTTGGAATCTTTCACCTTGACCTTCATTATTGGGGCGTCTCGATCTTTCACCTCCGTCGCCTATCATGGCACTGCACTTACCTCAGTTTTCACCCAAGTAATTACATCACTTGTACTTAAATTTTGCCGCGGTTCAGGCAAGACCGACCGTCCTGCCACATCGAGACCCTCAATATGGCTACAGTCAAGCTCGACACTTCTATCGGCGCACGAATGCTCACCATGCTGACCGAGATGTAAGTCCCAGTCGTCTTACCAGGTAACCTATTGACAGGTGACATAGAACCGCTCGAAACCAGTCTCTGTCACCTCTCCTTCGGATGCCAGGCGAGCTGCACAACCGCATCTTCAGGTTCGCTGTTGGTGGATACGTCGTCCGCGTTTCGCTCAAATTCAACATGGAGCCTGTGACAATGACATCGGGCAATCTCTCATTCCGCCTCACCGTAGCGTATGTATCTGCAGCAAGTGGTACGGTCGTCCAAGACAGTTCGTCGGGTACACGGGAACGCCCAATCGATCTCACGAAGTCTGAAGAATCTGATGCAGACAAAATCGTGGCGAATCTCTTCAATAAGAATCCCATGATTAGAGGTGGAGCAGGACGAGTCTCCCGTCTTTTCACCATCGCGCTCGTCAGTCGTCAAGTCTACGCAGAAACGGCACTTCTGCAGTACCGCTTCAACACGTTCTATTTCCAACACAAAGGTAGCATCGAATGCTTCTCAAGCTCCCTGTCTCAACGCCAGGGAGAAGCTATCACTTCAATTGCGCTGTCTCGCGAATACGTCGGGACTATGGCACTATCTCTGCGCCTGATATCCCGGCCGGTGCTCACGACGATTACACTCCCGAATCTGAATCGGATTATTGTAGCACCAAGGAGAAACTACTCTGATGTGACTTTACTCAAGGCTTACGAGAAGTGCCTCTCGATCACTTCGGCGCACGTGGACGGGTTACACTTGACATGCTTTGATATGTTCAATAGCAGGATGAGCCTAGAGAGAGCTACAAAACTAAAGATTCGACTCCAAAATGAGAAGTCCACAAGCATTTCGGTAAGCCTATGTATAGTGTTGCCGGGCGCCTGGACTTGATACTAACCACTACAGAAGGCCTAGCAGCAGTGTAGTGTACCCCCTCGTGGTCATCAATTTTGTGGTATGGACAAGAGATCAGGCTTACGTCACGAGCTGCATGGGGTCTTTTCGTTTGAGACGGGTGTGTCGATTTTGCAAGCGTTTATGGAAAGGTTGGCGGTTGTCACTTTCATCTGCGAGTCTAGATACACATCTCATACGAGAGACTACTGCGACCATGTCCCATAGTTTCCGTACAGTTGGTAACTACTCGGGTCTTTGAAAGATATCCCCAATACGTTCCACATAGCTTCTGCTGACCATCCGTCCGCTTCCAGAAGCTTCAAACCCTTCTTCAATAGCCTTCCTCAAGCCCCCGATGATCTGTTCTCCTCTAATGTACGGGTCGGGATTATCCTAGGGACATGCATCTGGTCAATAAGCACCCTTTTCGACAGATATCGCAAGACAGGCAGAGTAAATACCGAACCACGACTTAACTCCCTTGCCATCACCCTGAAATCCTTCAGATTTATGTAGTCGTCTTTCCCAAACCATGCTTTGACCAGAACGCCAAATTGGATCGCCTCACAGTCCATTTGTATGATCACGACAACTACGACCGACTTGAACAATATCTGGACGGTTCAGATATCAAAAGTCCATTCCGTCACCTCCGCCATTTGGCATACAGGTCCCCACCCGAGCCTCGTGGCTTTTACAACCGCACAAGAGCGTCGGGTGATACCATGGTGCATTCTTGAGCGAGCACCAAAGCTCAAGATACTGGATATTGCCCGCTTCCGCTTGGAAAATGTGATTGGTTCAGACCTGGACGTGCCAAGTGCTGCAGACATCGGAAGCATTTGCAACATTTGTCCAGATCTGGAGAGCCTTGCAGTTGATATCACGCTTCCAGGGCTGTACGTAAAATAGCCATTCGATGTGCTGGCTCAACTGACGCGGTTCAAAAAGTCCATCAAACTCACGCTATGTCTGCACCGCAGAGACTCGCGCTGAGCGTCATGGTCAGTCCATGTGAGCTCTTTGCTGTGATGCGTCATCTACTGAAAAAACGCAAGAAACTCGCTCTTCTCATTCTCTGGCCATTTCGTATAGAAGTCAAGACCGTGCTCCAATATGACAAGATCCGCAAGCACTTAGACTGTGTGAATTATGTTGTGTGGGTGCACACGATGTTTGAACACTATCCTTCTCTAGCTTATTGGAAATGTGACCATAAAAATGCGCGACATGGTTCTGACATGATACGATTGGAGGGGCTGCGGGAGAAGAGGAGTAAGGAATTGTCTAGATGGATAGGCCTGGATCGCAAGGGCTATGGACAGTAAATCAAGAAACGCGAAACGAGCACCACTGACAGTACTGAGTCTGAGCGAGAAGCCTCACTCTACGACATCTGGATGTCTCGAACCAGGAAGAATTCTCGCATCTTTGAGTGATATGACCCAATTCGAAAAGATGGGATGCGATGATGCGAAGAGAACAGAGTGTAGACTGTGCGTATATCTCCACGAACAATTCTGGCTAGCATACTGGGAAGAAAGAAGAAGAAAAAGCAGACCCTGTCAAACACAATAGGAACAAGTGGCTCATAGACTCGAAGATAAGACAACTCTGCAAATGTCTCACATTCGGAAGACTCACATTCAAAGAAAAATGTTTCGTCTTTGAATGTCTAACAATCACGTCCCCGCAAACGCGTTCGCATCAAGCACCCATCGCCATGTATAACACCGCGTCGCACAAGCACTGCAGGCAGGACTATCACAGGAGTATCTCCAGACCTACTCGCAAGAGTTCTGCAAGTGCAGCAGCACCAGACACCAACTTTGACACTGCATCGTCACGCCCACAACGACGCACTTCAACAACACATCGCCAACACATACCACCACCACAACAGCAAAGAACAGCATCACATCTGCATACCACGACACTACCAGTCAACCAACCACCATTTTTACACTCCTTTGTACCTTCCTGAGCGCATCGCTTCTTCTAGCGATATATTCAAAACTGCTAAGACATGTGCTACATCCTCCTGTCCACCTGCACACTCTGCACCTGGACTCTACGCATCCGCTACGCACGCTGCACACACGCGCACACGCACAGTCTCGATCCCGTGGCGTGTCCGAACCGCATGAAGAGACGGCGGCAAAGTGACGGAGGGCTGTGTGGGAAATGTGAGGCCAGACGGGGGAGTTTGAGTTTACCACCCAGGAGAGCGATGGACTCGCAGGACGCAGGAAATGAGAATGAGCATGTGGTGGATGATGCAAACGATGGAGATGTGCGGGCCGCAAAGGATGAAACGGGAATAGTGGTTGTGGACGGAGAGAAGACGATAGAAAGACGACGGAGATTGATGAAGCGACGCGCGAACAGGAAAGTGCTGAAGTAAGAATGAAGTAAAAATAGTCCTTATACACCAAACCCAACCAATCCGATCCAAGTGCAGCATCTATCCAATTCCAGTTCATCCCAATTCATCCCGTCCCAGTTCAGCCAAAAGGGGGGTATACAAGCATCCAACGTCCCTCATGCCTCATGTGTTATGTAATATCCGTCGTCTCTGTACAATGCCATGCAACTCATACCCCCATCTCACAGGGACGCCGTCTAATTCTCCTGCCCCTCCACCTTCGGCGGCGCCTGCCCAAACAAGCCCCCAAACCAACTCGCCCGATTCGCCGCTTTCCTCGCCTGCATCGCTTCCTGCTCATTTTGCACAAGTCGCAGCGGACGCATACCCTTGCCCGTCATCGGGCCGGCGGTTTCGCTGCGTTCTAGTCTGCGCGGTGGGCTGGGCGTGTCGACGGACGTCCCATCGCTCTTCGCGTCGCCTTCTTCTTGGATAGACGTGGATGTGGTTGGGACTTGTTGGCCCGAGGGAGCGCGAGATACTGGATTCGAGCTACCGGGTCCGGCGACGGGCAGGCCAAAGAAGGAGTTGCGCGGGGAGACGATGCCGGGGGAAGTAGTGCCTGAGGTTGAGACCATTTTGTTGACGATGTCTGCGGTGCCGGGCCCGATGCCTGAGGCGGAGCGGCGGTGTGTGTAGCCGCCAGAGGGTTTGCGGTTGGAGGTTGAGCGCGCAAGAGGGATGCTGGGTGCGGTGGTGGGGTCTTCGTTGACGCTTTGCTGGACGGGTGGTGGGCCCATCATGCTTAGTGGTCGTGGCTTGCGATTGCCGCCCATGGCAACGGATTTGGCGCGCTGGAGGAAGCCCTGAGGCTGGTCATCTTCTTGGGGTGGTGGAGGTGGGAGTTCCTTGTTCTTGTCGGGGCCGGCAGCTTGGTCGCCCTCTTCGTCATTGCCTCCTGCTAGGACTGACTCAAAGCCTTGGTGGGTGAGCAAGCGACCGATGATCTTGTTGATGTAGAGTGTCAAAGCTTTGTTCTCGCCCCTTAGAGCAGCGACTTCAGCTTCGTGTCTGCGAGCGGTCTCCACGTCACCATCTTCCACGGACTGAAGCTCATCTGCCAAGCTGGTAGACGGTGGTGCGCGGTCTTCGGCATGTGACGACTCTCGCAAGAAGTCGCCTCGGCTCAAGTCTCCATTCAGCGTCTTCTCGCCAAGGAGAATTTGGAAGCTCTCGTTATCTTCCATGAGGCGTGCGTTGGTCATGCGTGTCTCCAACAGCTGCTTCTCCAACTCGTGCATGCGCCCGCCCCCAGCGTTCTCGACCTCAGTGAGCTTGACTTGATATTCGGCAAGCTCAAGACGCAAG